CTGACCCTTGTCCGAAATTTCTCTACCCTCTCTGAGAATCCCTTAAACCCTTAATCCCTAAACCCTCGATTACTATCCTGCTCTATGGGACCCTTACTTTCGTCTTATTCCCCCCTCTTGGATGTCTGATCATGGAATGTCTTGTCCACCCGTAGTTGTCTGTTGCTGGTGCCTCCTTCCTGGGGTTGAGTTGTGCCATTCCTTCCAGCAAATGCGGTCTTTTCATAACTCTGCAATCTTGCCGTTTATCAACCAATTCTTGCTGAAGGTCCATCTGTCCTTCTTTCGCTGTTCCTCGTCCTCCGTCCATGACTGCTTGGTCTTCCGCCATCTGCAGAGGATTTCAGCTTGTATCATCGTTTTCGTCTCCACCCAAACTTTCTCCCGTGGGTTGGACAGTCCTTCAATCGTTCTGCTGCATCTTTCCTTCCATATGACCCATAATCTAACCTTTCTGATGAGACCAAACCAGATTTTTTCTGTCTTCCAGAGCTGTTGAGGGATGTTAGTCAACAGGAGAAGTTGGATGGGATGTTCGGGGAAGGGAGTTGGGAATAGGGAGTCCCAGAATGCCGATGCTCTTGCCCAGTAGTCTGTCGCCTCTCTGCAATGTATTAGGCAGTGAACTATGTCTTCTACCGCCCCTTCATTACAGACCGTGCACAAGTCCGAACTACTGGGATCTGAACTCTTACGCCTCATGTGTAGCCATTGGTTCACTGGTAATGCCGCGTAGGCGATTAGCCATTGTAAGCTTCTGATTTTGATTGGTCTGATGAGCCTGAACTTTTTCCATTKGATCTGTGTGAGATTGTCTGCCTCTTGGCYCAGTAGATCGTRCCATCTTTTTTTAATGATAGGGTCGGGGTCTTTGGTTTTCAGTGAYAGTCTRTATCCTAGTTTGACTGTATRSTCTTGAATTGGGGTTTTGGATTTGATGTTTTYAGTCTTGTCCGRCATCCATGCCCATTCAGCCGGGTCAAACTCCAAGTTACGGATTGCTGTGTCCGGTCTAAAGATTGACTTGGGCCAAGAGCCAATGACCCTTMTCTTCYTGAGTAGGAAGGAGTCCAAGACTACCGACTCAACATTGYTATTCAGGATAATCRGCATAYTGGTAGCAGTCGTGGAGATTGGGAAGKAGAGGAAGGTGGCCTTGGTGTGCGAATCTTGTTGCATGTGAGAGAATTGGAAGGCTCTCGAGGGAGTCATTTCTTGTATCTTAAGTCCCCATTCTCCGGATYTCCATGGAGCGGCTTCCGTCAAGATATCTTTCCATTCCTGTGGAATAAGGCTGACAATGTACCGGAGATTGGGTTCTCGCTTGTGGCATCCTTTCAGTTGGGAACTGATTTCCTGTTCTGTCTTCCATTCTTTCCTGTCCTCATTCCATATGTGGGCGACTTTCCATATGCCGTTTTTGACCCAAGAGAGCCACTTTTGTTCTAAGAAAAGGGGGTTGTCCCCCTCATTTGTCACCCATTGGTTCCCGAAGAGCGGTTGTCTTAGTACTTCATCCTTGGATCTAGGTCTGTTGGACTTGYTAGGGATTATTTTTCTCCRGATTCGAAGTARAGACGTCCAGTATGGGGTATCAGGCTTATAGTTCTCTAATCTGGTGTCCYTCGTTCGATTTCTTCTGCCCGTGGCTATGATCCAGTCYTTATTCATTACYCAGAACAGTCCTGACATATCCTCTGGAGAGGGCACCGGGGCTAGTGATCTGATGCTATCCAGGGCTAGTTTATGTCATGCGCTGTTTGGGTTCATCTGAAGTTTAATAATCCACTTAATCTGCAGGGCTTTTGTTTTTGTTCCGGGGTCTATAATCCCTAGACCTCCCTTTAGCGGGCTCCTCGTGACATAGTGCCATGCAATTTTAGATATGCTGTTCTCCTTGTTGGGGTTTCCTGACCATAGATATGACCTGGCTTTTCGGTTCAGTTCTTTGATGGAATTGTCCGGGACAGTCCAGATGGAGGCTAAGTACCACATCATTGAGAAGACCGAAGTATTAAGGACCAGGGCTCGACCAATGAGGGACGTGAAGTTATTGCCCCATGTTCCTAATTTGTTGATTTGTTTGGTCAGCATGTTCTGGCCCATTTGGGGCGCTAGACCTTCTCTCGTCATGAGTACACCAAGGTATCGGGTGGGGGTATCTGGCGTCTCCCAGGCCATAGCTGCTTCCTCTCCTTGTAATAGCAGGGAGTCCTCATCTGATAGCCACCATCCTATTGTCTTCCCCCAATTAAACTTCATTTTTGAGGCCAATCTGAAGGCTTCCATTGCTTTAGCCAGAGTTCTGAACGACGAATCGGTAGGTCTAATCAAGACAGTTAGGTCGTCCGCAAACATGATAGCTGAGGGGAAATCTATTTGGTGAGCTGAGCCTATGTTGGTGCTAGAGAGTCTTTGAATTGATGGGTCCTTGCGTAGAAATGATGCAATAGCTTCCATTACGAACAAAAAGATTGATGGGGCCAATGGATCCCCTTGTCGGACTGAGCGGGAAATTGGGTAGCAGTCCGATAGAAGGCCGTTGACTTGGGCACAGCCCGTTGCATCTTTGTACAGTATTTGGCTCCATTTTCTGAAATTCGGTCCAACTCCCATTTTTTCCATGCTGGCTTCCATGAAATCCCAGTTAACTTGGTCATAGGCCTTTTCAAAATCGAAAAAACGTATTGCAGCATTTATTTTCCTCTCCCTAATCTTCCTTATTGTCTCATTTAGTGTCAGTACGTTATCTAGAATGTATCGACCAGGGATAAAGCCTGTCTGATCAATGTGGAAGCATTTATTTGTGATTTGGGTGAGTCGGTTAGAGAGGGCCTTCGCCAGGATTTTATATGGAAGTGTTAGAAGTGAGATTGACCTATAATTTTTAATGTCTTCTTTGTTGCCTTTTTTTATAAAGTGGTGTGATCACACTACTGCTCAGTAGGTTGCCGAGCCCCTCCTTAGTCCAGCTGTCGTTGTAATAGTTTAGCAGGTCCGCTCCTAGAAGGGGCCAGAACTTTTCCCAAAATTCTTTCGTTAATCCGTCGATCCCAGGGGTCTTACCGTTGTTCATGCCTAGTAAGGCTTGGTGTAACTTCTCAATCGTAATCGGTTTGTCTAGTGCCTCGGCTTGTTCGGCTGTTATTGTTTGTTCCAGATATTGAAGCATTTTCTGTCTTGCCTCCCTTGTGTTGGGAGGTATTTGTTGGATTTCCTAAGCTGTGCTATTCTGGACTTTTCATCTCTGGTCTCCAGTGTGGATTTCGTGAGATTTCTCAATGTGTGTGTGTGCTCAAGGTGACGAGCGGTGAGGCTCAATGCAGATTGCAGTGCTCAACCATAATTTGCTTTTACCATGAGATGATAGCCAAGACCTACCTGTTCATCAGGGCTTTTACCAGACACGAAAACTGGTATTGCATCCAAGTTTCTTCACAGGAACCAACTGGCCCACTAACTCGTGAAATACCTGAGTTCAAACTCCACCGTGTTACATGCTGCGCCTGCAACAGGCTGCACGGGCCACTTGCAGGCCCGTGACGTTTTCAGGCCGAAAGCCTGAAAACAAGGGCCTACAGGCCCCGTGTCGTTTCAGCCTGAAAGCCTGAAAACAAAGGCCTACAGGCCCTGTGTCGTTTCAGCCTAAATCAGGGCCTTTCTGGCCCTGAGTCTTTTCAGCCTGAAACTGAGGGCCATTTTCAGGCCCTCGTGAGTTCGACCTGCCCTGAAACTCAGGCACCAAATCAGGGTCTTAGCACAGGCCATTCTGGGCCTGTTTTTAAGACAACCCCTGGTTGAGCTTCAACGTCAGGGTCTGGCACGTTTTGGAATTGGCAAGATCAGCCTCCTGGACGGGCCAGCGCTATATAGGACTGGCCCGCCCTGCAGGCTGCAGGTAGTTCCTAGGTACTTCCCAGGCACTTCATGTGCAGTTCAGGAGGCAGGAGGTAGTCTTCAGGATTCGGCAGCAGCACTCTGGAGGAGCGCTGCAGGAGTAGTAGTAGCGCTAGCAGTAGTCTTCAGCGCKGGGCGCTAGTAGCVTTAGCAGTAGTCTTCAGCGCTGGGCGCTCTTAGGAGCTAGAGTAGTACTAGAGAGAGAGAGATTGGGCGGAGGCCAGGGATACTTACCTGCAGTGCCATAGCTCCAGCTTCGCCTTCGAGGTACCTGCAGCACAGCGCCATCTTCACAGGTTAGTACCCGGCATATGAGAGAGAGAGAGTTCTTCTTCTTCCTTTTCTCAGTCCACCATCTCCCTCTCACCCTCTCGCTACCTGACTTCACTGCATCAGCAGACTATGAGAGAGCGGGCTTGGTGACATTTGGATCCAGACTCGACATTGGGCTTCAGATATTTTGACGAGGGATTATTTGGGACGTGTAACAAAGACGGTGTTGACGACATTCCCATCTCTCCCCCTCCTCTTCGTCTGTGCATGATTTGGACCTGGCACATTCTTCCTGTGTGTAGCGCCAGGCCCCCTTCACACCCTGTGATGAGGATGATGTATGTTTGGTCTGCGTTGCAACATTGATTGGGCTAGTCATTGGTATTCTAGCATTCTGCTACTCTGTCTTGCACTACGTGATAGAGGTCAGTCCCGGTCAGGTCAGGACTTGTATCTAAGTCTTCCCCTGCGCTATAATGAACCATGTTTGTATGTATCAGGATGTACATTGCTTGTTGAGATTTCACTTGCACTGCATTGTTCATTCAGTCCTTCTTATCACATTGCGGATCCTCGGTTATATATGTACATCGCCCAACTGGGCATGTAACAACCGGAAGCAGATGAGTGAAATACTACAATTAAAAAAGAAAACAGAAAGAGAAAAAATCTTCCCAGGAAAAACTAGAGATGCCTTTTGACAAGTCCTGGAATGAAAAATATGCAGCTCATCACTGTGTAGCTCTGGGTCCACGCACCAAACTTGTGATTCTTTCGTTTTTTTTCTTCCGATTCTTATTGTTCTTGTTTGCCTGGTGAAATGGATGCAGATGGGACTTGTTCTCTTTGGAAGCAGTGACATCATGAAAAGACTGGTTCATATCATGCATGACGAGAATGATTCGCACACGATCACAATCACAGCCAGTGAGAGGGCACTATCGCAAAGCTGCAACCGTGTGCCTAGCTCAGTGGTTTGCAATTTTATTTTGCTCCAAATGGTGTGTATCATCATATTCTTTGCGATATCGCGAACTTCTTGGTCAGTAATCTCGATGCTGCTGCTGGTCGTGCTTCTGATTCTCCGGCAATGGATTCTTTCCAGGGCCTTCTGCCCAGACGACCTGGAATATTTGGATCGTCCTGCCCTCTATTTTCACCTCGGGGTTGATTCACCCAATGCGGGATATGCTGATATCAACAATCCGGTACTGGAACCCAGCCCTCTTGGCATCCTTTCTCCTCCGGTGGACCATCCAGGCCATGGTTTTGACGGGGGAACGGCTTCGTACCAGAATGCTGCACCAGTGCAGGATGCTCTGGCCTCGGGCACTGCCCATTCATCTCACTCTGTCCCACTTATGTCTGCAAGCGAGTACTACAGTCACCAGCGGCTGGAGCGGGTTCGTGAGTCAAGGCCACGGCGGACTGCAGGGCACAGCACCAAACGACGAAGAATCACTCACCCAGATCCTGATATTGGGAGCACCATAACTTCTGGAGTTCGAAGCCAGTTTGCTGTTACACCTGATGGCGACCCAGGCGATGTTCAAGGTTCTACACGGGTGCACATTAGGGCCCTCCGACGACGGATAAGAAAGAATAGGAAGTTTTCGCATGGTATTGCCAAATCAGCCAATCGGGCACACTCATGGGAATTCCCTATTAGTAATGGTGCTCCAGGATGGTCTCCATACAGTTCAGAGGAACTGAGAAATGTTTGTGACCCCTTGCGACAGAGAAGATTTGCTCACAGTGTAGCACACCATACGTCAAAGGTGTTTCAGCTACATTCGCCATCTGCACCAAGCTCTGCACGAAAGGTTGTGCTCACACCTGCGGGAGGACCTGGGATGACGGCCACCCCAGCAGTAACAGGGGACCCACACTATCAGGCAGAGGATGCAGAAGAGACTGTAATCAAGCAGAAGAGGACACAGCAAGAAAAGGAGGCTGAAGGCATCAGGGGACCTTGTGGGCCTCAGTATGTTTCAGAGATAGACGTGCTGACAAAGAAGCTGACTCCTAAGCACCCTGCTGAAAAGGATGGCAAACAGGTTGCCGATCGCAGCAGTGGCCTTGAGGGGCAGTTAGCAGATGATGTTGATTCCTACGGGAGGGGATGGTACACTAATGTCTTGTATGAGCCACGGAGACCCATGCGGCGCTTGGACTCATCGCCGCAGTCACCCACTACACTGTTACCCGATTCAGGTGAGGAGTTTGTGTACTACTGCCCCCTCTATAAGTCCGACCCTAATGCACTTTCATTGTCCTACGGGTCTGCCTCATCATGTGGTGAGGAGGGAGGTTCAGGGTCGCTGCGGTCAAACCTTGGTGGAAGCTTGAGCCATGCCGAGATCTTTCTCAAGGACATGCTGAGGTGGGATGGTGAGGACGAATCAAGCTCCCACAGTGCACGGTGGTCCCAACATCAGCTCCGTCAGTATCCATCACCACAGTCCTGTAACATGTCTGCTAGCCCTGGGGAGGATGGTCAAAATCATTTGACGCTTCCGGGCATTGACTCTGGCAGTGAGATGGATGGGCTGCATCCGGATGAGCAACACACATGGGCAACTCGATATTCTCCCTCGCCACTTGGCAGAGCACCTTCCTCTGGCCCAATTCTGTCCAATCGTCCCCAATCCCAGTCTTCTTCTGCTCCTCGCGCGTCATCCCCCCTTCGACGAGCATCATCTCCCCATATGCGGGTGCAGTCGCCTCGTGGTCAGTCACCATCCCCACTAGCTCGTGCTGTGCTAAGCAGGTCGCCTGGTGGCAGTGGCACAAGGCTTCCTCCTAAAGCGAAGGTCAGTGCAGCAGGGATGGACAGATCAAGACTGTGGACTTACAGCCCCACTGTGCAGGGAGGTGAACAGGCTAGCCGGTCAAGCGCTGTACCTTGCCAGGGTGCGAATGTTGCAGAAAAGGAAGAGGATTCAGTGGGTGAATCACCAAAGCCATCATGGTGGAAGCCCCCAGCCAAACCTTCTTTGGACTTCGTCATGAAATCCTTGAATCCTCCTCCTATTCGCATTCGACTTGCTGATTCTCTGGGATCTGCGGTCGTAGACCCACCAGAGCTGGCGGCAGACTTTCGCTTGTCTCCAAGCCAGAGAACACAGGACGTGGATGAAAGTGTTGGATTTGAGGTGAGGTCCTGCCTTGGAGGCCAAACACCTGTCTGCAGTACCTTGTCAACTCCACACCACACTGCCATAGCACGGAACTCACATATGTCTGGATTCACCTTCCCCATGAGGGAAAGAAAACAGGGTTCCGCACCTGCTGTTCCGCTTGGTCATGAGGTTCACTCGCAGAGCATACAGGCGAAGAAGTCAAGGCTGGCACATGAGCATGGACATATTGAAGAGAGTATTCTCATAATGGATCAGCTGGTTGGTAGAGATTCTGAAGTCCCTTTGTCTGCTCAAGGGTGGCGGACTTGTCAGCCTGTTAAGGTGAGGGCATCAGAGTTAGGCTGTCGTATAAAATCTAGCCCTGTCAGACATGCTCCTGTAGAAGGTAATCACACAGCTATGCAAGATTGGCATATCAACAGGTGAACAAGATCGTGAGAGTAGGAGATGCATCTGTGGTTCTACCACACCATCAACTTTCCAAGACAATTCACATCCCTCGCACTTGGCACAGGTATTGGCGGTGATGATTCACCCTTTTGCTTTGTGGCTCTTGAGCATGGAAGTGAATTCAGGGCCTCTCGGTGAAGAGGTGAATGTGCAATCAAACCCAGGCAGGTCAAAGCCACCACCTAGTTCTTATGACATAGACCTGCACGGGAGTCTTGGTCCCAATGGCCCAAGTTCTGTAAGAACTATCAGGCCAAGTCAGGCGAAGATGGCATCGTGCCGTAGGGCAACGAGTTGAAAAGGAGTTCAGCAGCCAGGGCTGTAGTGTATTTACTCATGACAGTGTGCTGGGCATGATTGCTACTGTAAGTTCGGGTGCCCAAGAAATCACTTGATGAACCTATTTCATGGCTGGGAACCGAAACATAGGTGGGAGTCTGTCGCTATTCAATGGGCAGGTGTTAAACCGCCAGTACATCCGAGCCTCTTTTGTACGAGCCGGATTGCCACTGCATGCCGAGCTTTGCCAAAGCGCCAGCCTGACATTTTTGTTTGGGTTTTGGCTTTGGCTGGCACCGTGAGCCATTTTGGTCCAGTTGCCCCGAGCGTCCGATTTTTTCGGAGAGCCGCAATTGTGATTCTCAACTTGGCCGGGGCCATGCATTGGTGGTCTGAACTGGGAATACAGTCCTTCCGGCAAGGCAAGTTGCTGAGCAATACTGAAAGTCCCTTAGGCAACGGAGGGAACATGGTTTTAGCAACGCGGAAATAAAGGCAATGCCCTCAGGTAGTGCTAGAATTTGAGAAATGCACGTCTACACCAACCTGTAGATCGAAAGACGGACAGTGTTCATTGTGTGCAAAGTTCTGTCTTAAAATAGATCGTGTTCAACCCCAGCAGTGACACCAACGTTTCTGTGACTGCAGGCGGATATAGACCCAGGAAAATAAAGTGTAGCATGGACAACAAACGGATCTTCTGTTCCAGTGTCCATATCCACAACCTGGACGTATACACAAAGGATTGTAACAGGGGTTAGAATGATGGGAGGTAAGCCCAAAAGGCTTACTCATTCATGTTATCAACTACCCAGTAAAATGGGGTACAGGCTCAGCCTGAAGGTTATGGCTTTTCTTTTTTTTCAGTTCCAAACAGAAGGTGAATGTAGCGAGAATCTAAGGAGGAGACAACTTTCCACTCACAGATACGATGGGAAAAGTGCAGGTCTACCGGGCCAGCGAACATAATAAGCTTGCAATGGCTCATTTTGTAGCTGTCTGCAGCAGCACGAGAAATTGCTCTTGGGGCATGTATTATGCGGAACACAGGAAGGGTTGGTAGAAGATTCCACCCAGCCACTCTTTTTGCCAGCATGTAAGAAACGGGGAAAAGAAGCTCTTTGCGGATAGTTCCCCTTTTTTCCTTTGGACTGCACCAAACTGCTATCTTTAGCCAGCATTTAAATGAGATTATCTATTATGAAGGCTGGCTTGGGTATTCAAAGAATGACGATGTGGAGGGAAGACAATCATGATCGCCCGCAAAGTACAGATGTGTTACGACTGTAAACAATGAGAGTACAGGAGACGATGCAGAGTGGAGGGAAGTGACGGACATCATGGGAGCTTAGCTTGGATGCCAACCATCACAGTCGCAAGGAATACCAGGCTATGAGTCCTGGACTCGTACAACATGTGCAAGGAGGAGGTTGGAGAAGAGGAAGGCAAACAGGCTGAGGAGCTGGAAGGGCTGAGCAGACGCTGTAATCGCCTCCATGTTATGTGAGCAGAAGATCAAGTGACACAAGGAGGACAGGATAACCTAATCGGAGGGAGAGATGTGGGTCCCGTCAGGGAACGGCAGGAAACAAAGCATGTTAAGAAGGTTCACAGGAAGGACAGCACAGACCATGGCAAAACTACAGGTTTGAAAAATCAGGAAAAGGTAGGAGGGCTACGGCAGGTTGACAGAGGCCCTGCTGTTTTATGAGGCAGACAATGGGATCTGTGATGTCCCACTTAACTAGACGTAATATATCAGTAGAGAGGATTGCCAGGAGGTTAGGGAGGAGGATTTTCTAAGCTTCTCTCTGGATCCCAACCATGGCATGGAAATGGCATACGGAGTGAGCATTTTCAGTAAATTGTACGATTGCTGGTGGAAAAATGAACTGGGTAGTCCCCCCCATCCGGAATGGGGATGGTGTAAGTTTCTTCAGAACAGAAAAGACAATACTGGTCGTCCTATGTATCAGATCCACTTAGACGACCAATTTTTGCACTTGTCTACGTGTACTACTAGTGTTCCTGAGCCAGTCTGTTCCTAAGGTGGAGGGAGTGTCTGGAGGAGCACCAACATAGAGGATGGGGGTTGTAGACTTGTAGTGTGTTATTTTTTTGTAAGCACCACGGCGCAGCAGCGGGAGGCGGGATAGAGAGGCGATATGGCAGGGAGTTGTCCCAGTTGTTCAATTTATTTGCAGTTTTGTCTTAATTAAACTTCTCTCTTGGACTCCATGACATGTAGTAGAAGAGCCATAAAGTAGCAGCATCATTTAACGCACGATTTGTAACCCTAAAAATCTGTGCAGTTTTGACTGCTCACTATGATTTCCGAACCTTACCGTTGATCTGAGTGTTGACAGTGACTATGCTTGTTGGAGGTAATGATGATGATGATGATGATGATGATTATGGCAACAACGGAAATGATTGATGAGGGGGGATGACCAGAATGAAATATTGATGATGATGATGATGATGATGATGATGATGATGGCAACAACAACAAAACAAGGATGATGATGATGATGGTGATGATGATTGGGGGCATGCTGCTGATGCAATTGGCACAGTTGGGTTAATGAAAGTTCATTCAACATCAGGGTCTTCCTAGTTCTTCTGTCTTTTTTCTATGAATAATTTAATGGCCCATGTGGTATTGCTGTGCGCCAAGTTTCACGAGTGGATGTGCTGTCTAAGTGGCTCTGGTGCAAGCAGCCTAGGCAAAGGTGAACTCTATGGTGTCTTTTATGTGGATGTGGTTTTATGTCCGGATGGAATGTTTGATGGTTACACTGTTCTGATTGGACAGGGCATGTTTGTTTTTGTGTGCATGCACGAAAGGCACAATGGCTAACCATTCCAGGGCCCATAGGCTGGCATGAAAGGAGAATACTGGAGAATCAATAGTGCGAGGAACAAGCCCTCAAGGGGCCCTATCAGACATCACATTGTTCTGGGCTAAGGCCCCACTACGCCAAGTGCCCGCCCTAAGTGAAGGCGGGCCTGAATATTCGTCAAAGACAAAATTCGGCATTTCCATATGTGGGTATTCAGGCTCTCGCAGCACGCCAGTTGGTTGGGAAGACGCGTGAGCCTCACATTGCTGCGTCATACAGTTGGCCCATGCCTTGACAGTTGCGCCTGGGCACACATACACAAAGAAGGGCCGATACATTGGGAAGCAGGCCTTCGGCCTTTGCAAAAAAAACAGTAGTGCCAACGCACCTGCCTGGGAGCCCTGCACAGATGCAGCAAGCAGCCCAAGTCCGGAGACTCAGGCCGTGCCTAACTGCAAAGGGCCCAGGCCCTCAACTGTAGTCTCGGGCCTGGGTGCAGGGTCTGGGACCCAACCGGAAGCTACTGGAAGCTTCCAGCCAGGCCACACGTAGCATCCAGGAGGCTGCCACTTCCACAAAAGGAAGGAAGCAGCCCAGGCAGGGCATTCTGGCCAGCGCTGGCAATGCGAAAGTGCTGCTGCGCTCTCGCTTGATGCTGCACTGCTGCCAAGGGCGCTGACGGGGCGTGAGAGGTGAAGTGGGGTGCTGCAGGGCAGCGGAGAGCAGGCAGCCATAGCTGGGCTGCTGGGCGCCAGGGGGTCCGGCGGATGATCAGGTGGTCTTCAGGGAAGGAGGCGCTGTGTGGAGTAATCAAGGTCTGATTGAGGGTGAAGAGATGCGTACCTGGTACATGAAGAGAGGTCGGCGATGGTGTTGGCAGTCATGTACATTGGTCTTCGAGAGTCGAAGTGATCCTGTTGCGTGAACCGGCTGTAGGTAGGCTAGTCAGGTAGAGTAGGCTGGGTGCCGAGCGCCAGACAGGAGAGAGCGACTTTGGATACTGTGTTGGTGTGGCTTACGGGCTTGGACATTGGCTCATTACTTCATTGTATTGCTCTATATGGATGGTTTTCTCGGTGCATTTGTACTCTCTGCTTGGGACACGACTACTTGTTCAGCTGTGTGATTTCGCAACTTGGTTTTATGTATATCGCGTACACTCATATTCCTTGCAATTTGGTATCGGAGCTGGTTGGTGATCGCCGCTTACCTGGCACCGGTGACATTGTGACTTGGTGCGCTGACGATGCTTCATGTGCAGTAAGGATACTTTGGCGCTGGTTGATTAGCGGGGCCTAGGTGGAGAGGCCGGCCGCTGGAAGGCTGTGGCGACAGCGTGGGAGCTGTGGCGACAGCGGGTGTATGCATGATGATGAGAGTATGCTGACGTGGCATTTTGGCTGAGGTGACACTGCTAAAAGGGCCTTTACCCGATATAGGCCTCAGGCCTTGTAAAAATAAAGCAGCACGGGCCTTGAAAAAGTAAAGCATTGTGAAAAGGTATCTCGTCAGAGCTCAGAAACGTGAAAGCAGGTCAAAGGTCAAGTTCTCTATCAACAGGCATATTTAAAACTAAGGCAAAGGGCATTGTCAAAAGACTTACCTGTTCACCAGGAGATGTGTATGTCATGTCTGTTTGGGTAAGGGTGTGTCT